ACAGAGAGAGAGAGAGAGAGAGAGAGAGAGAGAGAGAGAGAGAGAGAGAGAGAGAGAGAGAGAGAGAGAGAGAGAGAGAGAGAGAGAGGAGTAACGTGATGGGGCGCAGACAGGTCTTAACTCTGTCAGGGTCCGGAGCAATTTGAGATCAAGACCATTGGCATGTAAAATAAACAATGCAGAAGCAAACATACCTGTTCCCTCAGCGATTTTATCTCCGACCGCAACATTCCCTCCTGCCATCATATCATCATATATTTATATATATATATCGTCACAAACAGTTATATATATATAAAACAACCGAGCGCACACAGAATTAGCAACTTCGCAACCTTTTATATATATATATTGAGGTCCATCAGGACTCGAACTTAGGTCTGTATTTCCACAGTTTGTGGGTGTACCAACTGATCTAAGCTCATCGGCAGCAACCTACCCTGTTAAAAAAAAAGACATGTCAAGTGGGGGTGCAACAGACAGATAACAGTGAAAAACTGAAAATGATTGGGAACAAGAATTTCTTTTTTTTAATTCAAAAAAAAAAAAAAACTTGGTCAGTTTCGAATTGGAAATTGGCCGCAGTGTAAAACTTCCATCGAGAGTGAAACACGTGTCAAAGACTCAAAAGAGTCAAAAGTTAAAACGGAATATGCCACCAGTTTTTTTTTTTTTTTTTGCTTTTTTTTTAATTACTAATGCGAGGATAAGGCTCCTCGGCAGGCCTAAGAGGCCCCATCATGCACATTGGTGGTATTATTGGTGCAATGCTACATTCTGGACACTGGGGGACTTTCTGGCTTTCAATGTGATTGTGCAATGTGATTCTGTCCTTGCACTAAGCTATATATAGCTTCTCTCAATTTCACCTTTCGCTATCTGCCTCCCACTACTCCTAAGCGTAGACACTATACAGGGTGCGACCAGATTGTAAATAAGATCACTGGCCCCCCACCCCAAAAAAAAAAAAACACTGCCTGTGTTACTCTTTTGCCAGACTGTGCAAAGGAGACCTTCGTGGCGTATTCATCCAGAGATTCTTGATGTATTTGGTCACAATTGCGGCCAGAGTCGGGGTGACAAATGTACCCAATCACTGACTCAGTGGAGAAATGCAGCCAACCACACACTGACTGGTCCAGAAACCCTGGATGTACATGGCCACAAGGACGGCCAGATAAAAAAAAATGTACCGACAGCACATTCACACCAGGACTTTCAAGTTCTATCTTGGATGTATCAGGCCACAATTAGTACCCTGTCCTAGATGTACCTGACCATATTTACGTCCAGAATCAGTCGATCATGTCCTCATACACCCTCATTGTATCCCTGCTACTATCCCATACCATTCAACCAAACACATTGTCCTGGATGTACCTGATCATAACGGCGGACGCGGAACGTTTTGAAACCCTAAAGGCAAATTTAAAAAACTTGCGCCGGCGGAGAAACCATGCGCAAATGAGCGATTTCGGTCCAAAAGTATCTGTTGGGCATTTTCCTTTTTCTTTTGTTTTCCCCTCTGCCACCACGGCCGACCCCTGTAAATAAATATGACACCCTGTATGACACCACGGCCATCGGTATTTCCGTTGCCTTTTTGAACTCGGCGCGGTTTTCATTGCCGACGCATGTTTTTTTTGCCCATTCGATACTCAAAGGTGACATGAACGTACTTAACCCTTTTTCTGTTTCTCTTGTCCTCAGAAGTTCTGAGTACTACTTTTTTTTTTTCACTTGTTTTTTTAGTTTTTTTTTTTTTTTTTGCTTTTTTGGTTTTCTAGCCTTGCCCTTTCTTTTGTGAGAGTCTGGAAAAAAAAACAATGTCAAGTCATCATTTGGTTCAAAAAGAAAATAAGGGGCAAGTGCGTTCATGTCACTTTTTAGTATGGAATGAGCAAAAAAACACACGCCGGCAAAGAAAACAGGCGCCGAGTTCGCAAAAGCAATCGAAGTACCAACGGCCCTGAAGTCAGGCTGGGTGTCATAACTACAGGGGTCGGTCGTGGTGTCAGATCCCTGGAAAGAAAGAAGAAGAAGAAGAAAAAATCCCCAATATATTCTTTTCTACCCAAATTGCCGTTTCAAACTCTTGCGGCGAGTCTTGCCGTGATAGTTTTGTGGGCGTGTTTTTTTTTCGCCTTTGCGAACTCAAGACCTGCCGCGTCCGCGGCTGTTTCTTAAAAAGAAATTCTTTTTGCTTTTTTGAAGTTTTTTCAATCCCTAGTTATATTAAGAGATAATAAGATATATATGAAAGTAGTCCGATAGAGTTTTACACAGCTCTCAAGGCACGTACAAATACAATCGTGCAGCCACAGGTGGACTCGAACTCATCATCTGTTTTGCATCTGCTGGCTGACACACTTCATGGAACGTCTCGATGCGTCAAAAGGACTCAGAAGCTCAGAACATTTGGGACCAGTCAACCAATTGGAGACTTCTCTCTCTCTCTCTCTCTCTCTCTCTCTCTCTCTCTCTCTCTCTCTCTCTCTCTCTCTCTCTCTCTCTCTCTCTCTCTGTGTGTGCGTGCGCGCGCGCGCGCGTGCTTGCTTGTGGTTAAGTCCGATAAAACTACTACATTCTATGGAAGAATTTAATTCCAAATAAGTCCTCACTTGGCGGGTGGTTGTGTTGTGTGTGTTCATGAATCATATCTCATAATTTTTGTGTTAATAAATAGTAACAATAATTGTTCATGCACTGTTAATAAACACAGGTCATTAGGTCAAGTCCTGAGATAACCAGACAAGTGGAACCAGAGAAATGAAGTATAACGCTGAAGGTTATCTCAGAGAATAAACTTAAACAAAGCAATAATTTCCAATAAATTAT